ATCTGTTTTGTGCTTACTGATCAGCAGAAGTATGGTCCTAATCCGGGAAGAGGCATGAAATTGATGACCCAAAAATCATACATTTTATCCCCTTTTTTCCTCCAGATGGGTTTCAGTAAGGGCGAACGGTCTTGTATGGTTCTATGGTCTGTAGTCAGCATCTCGACTGCTCCTGTTTAAGCTCGGGTAACCTCAGTCTTTTTGCTTCGTGCGGATGGTTCGGTAGCTTTGCACAGAAGGGATGCTACAAATGAATAGTTATTGTTATTGTTTCTATTATTTTATTATTTTTTGAATGCAGAATTGTGGAAAGCCTTCCCAGAATTTGTGATTCAAAGTGGTCCAGCATTCACTTCAAGCCGAATATGCCTGATGGCGTTCCGGATCTGCAGATATTCCTGCCACAAACAAAGCTTTGTTGTAAATGACGACCGCTGACATCAGACCTAACTGCTGCAGCGGTACAAAGTGTCTGTAGAAGCTATACAAAGGTCGTTTCTGGTTAAACCTGTTTCGTACGATTTACATCCGGAGACATGCTTTGTGAACTAATTTGCTGAAAAGAATACGCGAGGTGAAGAATTCACACTGGGAAATCCACGATCAAGTAAATTAGCGCAGGACGGCATCATGTTCAAAAATTATAGTGGACTGATATCTCGGGAGGAGCCCTTTTCCTGCTGAATCCACATAAGTTCCAGGGTTAAGCTAGCAAAGTACCCATTTTCAATCATCATCATTTCCATTCACCATCCTTGATTTCTATAGCGCCTAATATGAAGTTTTTCAAACAACCTTGCATGATGGGGATAAAATTACGCTTCGTTCTAATCTAGAGGAATCTATCAGGTTTACTATCTTTGTTCAAGAGGTATGGAAATAATCGCCTGTTAGACCTGGCAAATAGTAATAATAATTGTTCAGCTGTAACGTCCTCCCGGTATTAAGGTGCCATGCCACCCAAAGAAAGCAAGAGGGCTGAGATACTGTCGGTTTGCCCAAGCCTAGACAGAAGTAGTCTAGATGCGGAAATTGGATCCGAACCACGGACTTTCCGGCCATTAAATCCGCACTCCAATCACAGCACACTCAAGCTAAAATGTGGTAAGTTGAGTGCGTGCAACTTGTGCTTGCAGAGTAGTGGAACAACGCGCGCCTCGCATTTCAAATATCCGGAGTTCAAACCCCTCCAACGCCATGGATATGCACTGCTGGTGAGCTCTACAAAGTGCGAAAATCGATTCCAGGGCTTCCGCGCTCTTTGGTATGGACCCCTCAGAATTATTGTGCCAGAATAGCACAAGGGCTATTCAAATGAGTGATTTGAATAAGAATTCTACAAACCCCGCAATCGCCTGTAACTAACATGAAAACTGCTTACGAAGTGGTCTGTTCACTCAAAGTTGATCGATTGAAGTTGGCCACAGAAATGCCTCTGGTGCCTTGCGTTGTAGGCCAGACGAGCAAACTGGGTTATATTTTATTAAAACTGGTTACTTTGCAGTAACGTACACTGGAGTCGCCAGGTGTGATATTACAAGATTTTTGTGCACTTCATGACCTTCGAGCCTGGGTGGATAACTCAGCTAGTGTCCCCGCGGCAGCCGAACCAAATGTAAGTCCCAAATTAACAATGTATTCCACCATGTTTCTGAGTCAAGTTATCCGTTTGTGTAAGAGCAAATCCTGCTGATAACGCTCTGTGGAACGTCACATTGGTAAGTGAGGTTTGGTTAAGCTGCGAACAGATGCATCACGACTCGTTGCGCGCACACAGAATATGTGCTGTGGAAACAAAGAACTGACTTGATAAAGGGAAATTTTTGATTTTCAGTTCTGACAGCTGTTGTATATATATTTTCCCTGTGATGCATCAAGCCATACAATACCATATACGGCAACCCGAAAACTACACAAAAAAATAATTCCTGGTTGGTTGGACAGTAGAGCCCACACATTATCCCCCTAGTACGATTGTGAACAAGGTCATTACCTTTGTAAGTATTGCTTCTTTTACATGGATCTCAACAGAACTAGTATTTGTATGGTTTGTCTGGTGCTATGAGATTATGAGTACTTGCGACCGGAATTATTAAACTGCGCGGTAATTTAAATCGCATTTCTGCCCACAGACAATTTAGTTTGCAGAAAACTGAAGTATTCGAAAAGACTTACGAGTCTTAGGCTCTGTTGAAGTTCCTTTAATAAGAGCTAAGTCAGGTATCCCCCGCACACTGTTACTCAGAGAAATAGCTTTCCACTGCATTAGTTAAGTTGGAACACTGATAATGGTGTGCTGGCCCTGAGTGCAAATCATTATATCGTGGTGTGAGCTGTCGTTCTCGGTCGGTTTCCACGTCATTTTATCGATCTTTTTCAAAAGTCTTCATATCAGTTAAACAATTGATTGAATCCCGTCAGACATACTTGCCTCACATTAACCTGTAACCTGCATTTACTCTGGTAGCATGGAAAAGATAGCCTCTCACATGGACTAATTTGTTGTCCAGATGATTAAACTGCTCACATAATTGACTAGGGAACGTCGAATTACAACAATGTTTTGATGTTCCATATTATCAGGTTGTTCTGTCTCGGGAGCCTGTTAATAAGTGGCTGCTCACCACCAACCGATTTATACTACAGTTCCAATATGTGAGTTCGTTGCGGTGGCAAGCATACCGACTTTTTCGGGTAGATGCTGAGACGATGATTCAGCCTAACAATCTGGACTTTTCGGAGTGTCATGCGCAAGCATGTACTGGAAGTAACTTTCTGTGACGATAATTTCGAGGATCAAACTGATAAGCGTGTGCTTGCTGTTCTCTCCTTGAATTGTGCGGACCACTGGGCCATCCTCTGCGTAGAGTGAGTTTAGAATGCTCAGATGACTTCACGTGAACTGAAAGTTAAGGAACACCAAATAGGTGTGTTGATGGTTCTTAAAACACTCCCTCATTCTCTGTTACGTTTGTACCGAACAAAGGGCTTCATGCTAACTGCACAGACAGTTCAAAGCACATCGTATGTCGCATCTCCCATCCTTCGTGACCGGTAGTCGGGTTGATTCGATGTGATACGTAGACAAAATGTGGGTACCTTTCTATTATGCCCTGAAATGTGGTGTTCTTTTTCGAACGGTCAAGTCACAAGCAGGATGCAAAATGCTTCAATTCAGTGAAAAATTTCATCCTTTTGTTGAATACTCTCACACTAAGGGGTGCAAAATCTTTTATCACTTTTAGTAACTTTTTTAATGTTTCAGGTTATACTCTCTTAACCGCTGATAGTACAAGAAAACGCCTTCATAAGTTTGACTATTTACGGACGATTACTGTGGACTGTTCCGGAATTTTTGCGGCAGACTTTCTACGCCCGAGTTTATCTGCATAATTCGAGGAGGATCGTAAGCTGGAGACTACGCGTGTTGAAAAGAATGTGTCTCTTGCTCGATAAAATCAGATTTTTAGCGGAAATGATTTCCGCAACCAATTTTCCGCCTTCTATTGTCTGTGTTCTTATCTTACAACTAACCTGTGACTCACTTGCCAGGCCTACGTTGCTCTGTGTGGCCCACTGAATCAGCGTTGATAGGTTCTTTTATCCGTTAAATATGCACCCACCCAAAAAGGGAATAGGTTTAAAAAAGGGGGGCCATCAAAGGTTTATAAACATGCGCAAGAGACGAGACAAAAAAAACAACTGACTTAATAAGGTTTGTTTCAATGTGGATCTCGGTAAATCTGCCGTGAAATGTGGCAGATCATGAAGCACCTCTTGGGCGAAAGATCAAAGTAATATTCTTTCAAAATTCACTTGGAGAAACTCAGCTGCGAAGTTTTAGATCTATCAGATCCAAACATTATATTCATCCTCTCTAGTGACTGTACTCACACTAATAGCACAGCTTCAGAATAAGGGTATAAGAATATGCGACAAGCGAATTCAGACAAATCATTAATACCGATCATTATCATTCTCTCTGTTCAAAGTGTCTGCTAAACTCCTCAATTATTCCTAGCGATTTTTCGTGAAGGAAGTTACTGACGAGGCTCCTGAAAACTTTACGACATCCCACAGCCGGTTTCGCCCTTCCGATTTGAGCTCTTCAGGCGGGTGAAGTCCTCGAGGTTCAGTCAACCTTACGTTTTTCTTAAACCCAAATTGTAGGAATTTCGCAAGGCACACTGATTTTTACACCAACTTGGTTTTTACGGAAAGCCCACCAACAATGTGAGTAGTTTCGCTCAAGGAAATGTACTGGGAGTTCTCAAATATCATATCAACCGAAACATGAGGCCGCATCACATTCGGAATGTCACAAACGAGAAATTCATCTGCGATTCGGTTGGGTCTCCCGTTAGGAAGAATAGCTGCCCAGTTCGCTAACTCTCCTCGTGTCAGGAAATATTCTGGTAAACATCTTACGGGTATCGAAGAAAGGAACAACCAAATCTGAACCAATCACTTGCGGATCCATTCATCTGAAGCCATTTGAAAGACATCCTCTTGTATTCAGACTCGTCTCGTTCCACAGTAGAAGCATTTGTACATCTGGTTCACTGCGTCATTTCATCGATTCACACAAAATTTAATGATGAGCGGCTTTGGCCCATCGACTACAGAGTGATATCTAATGGCCGACACAGAATTTTTACTACAGCTTCTTACCGTGTCGGGAAGTCACTGGAAGCTGACCAAGCCAACTGAAGGCTTAAATGCGATGGAAGTGAAGGAACTTCTTTTCCCCAATTCCCTTTTGTAGGTTGTTTGTTAATTGTACACTCCTCCACTGAGTTTATTGCACCGATTCCCTCAAGGAATTTCTTCAAAAAAGTGCCTTCTCACCGTCAGTCCATCAACACAATATTCTGGGTACAGTCGAATCTCAAAGAAAGTCCTCTTCGCTTCGTGGAAAGCGAGCTTCTTGATTTTCTTTCGTTCCAAATTCGTCTGACGAATTCATTCCTAATAATTTTGCCCTATCCACTAGTCACTCGCTAAAAACGCTCGGTGCAAACTGAGTACAAAATTCTAAGCGCCAGGAATTCGACCATTTCGTCGTCATGTTCGGCATGTTGTCCAGAGGATGAATTCGCCTCAGCGGCAGCTAGACGCACCTCGACAAATAGTCGACGTTGTTGATGCAAGGCCTCAAAGTCTGGCGCAATAGCTTGTCGACGCTCATAAATTGCTTCAACGTAGAACCACAGAGATGGTGGAACAAGCTCCAAGCATTGGTTATACTCTTCTTGTGTGCAATGAATACTTCCCAAACGTAGCATCAGACCCGTTCGCTTCAGTGTGTCGACTTCATCACGGATTTCAAAAGCCTGATCAAAGTTGAACAGGTATTTCAGCTTGTCAGTAGGAATGTTGCAATCAATCACTGTCTTTCTCTGTGTAGATATGACTAAGAACTGTAGAGGAATCTTTTCAGTGCGAGGACCAGATTGACTTCCTCCTTCACGCCCCAAGTTCTGAATATTGAAATCCGCCGTTCAGTCGTCCCCGGTAGAAGCTTGGGACTCAGATGCTGTCTGGCTGCGTCTATACCGATCATTGATGCGATTACGCATGACCAGATTTTTGACAGCGATCAACTGAAAGATCAGTTCCTGTATCTCAACAGTCTTGTTCCTCAGGGCAACTCGACTCTTCTCGCGCCATTCTTCCAAACGACGACATTCTTCGATTATATTGATCGGTAACCCAACCCAACGGATTTCCTACTTTTCTTTCTGCAACACGTCCAGTGCCATCAGCACGTTGAGCGTATCGTAGACTCACCGCCGAATATTTTTCTGAATATAATGCAACTGCTCAGAGGGAATCATTGGATGCTCCGCTGCATACTCATGGACTAGTTCGTCAGCCACCTCGATGTAGGAAGTGACACCCTTTTCCTTGACTTTGTTACACACACAACGTGCGTACCGTCGTAGGCCATTCGTCTTGAAACCAGTTGACATTTGCTCTTGTTCATTTCCAGAGTCATGACCGGGAGGACTAGGAGGCTGAAAGTAGGTTGAAAGCGGTCCTGACGCGGGCAGGCCTGTGGAAAGGTCGTAGTATCCACCTTGTGTTGCAACTATGCCACTTTGTGGTGCATGTATTCCGTCTCCGGAAGTCACCATGGTGTTCTCGATGTCTTCAGAGGGTTGATGCGCCCCACTGCTAACCACTCCATGAGTGATGGGAGTTGCGCCGGCCGCACTGGAGAGAATAAGCGTGCCCTGAAATAAGGGAAATATAACATTGAAAAGACAAGTATATGACTTGAGGTTCAACACCTCGAAGTTGGGTAGTTAAGCGACTGAAACACAAGTGTCACATCCAAGGGAAGCGACACGAGTGTCAGATATTGCCGGAAAGGCGATGGGACCCTTGATCATCTACTTACCGGACGCACTGTAGAAGCACTGGGAATCCCGCCAAGAATTGTACCACTAGAGGCAAGTTGCGCTGGTGTCCTGATTGTCAGTAATCGTGGAACTGAAGGTGCTCCGGAAAGCTCACCCGTGACAATTGGGCTACCAGTTGAAGATATAACTTTCATGCTACGCTGTAACATGTGCATTGGAATGACCGCAGCTCTTAGCGGCTTACCCCAACACCCTGCCCTGGTACAGTGATTATTTTTACCGTCCTAATAGCAGGGCGCTGAAGGGTGAGGCAAGTGACATCCCAGGAGTTTGACCGGGACGCTGAAGCATGATTACGCGTGGTGGGTATGGAGTTGTCTGTGTATTCTGTGGTGCCAAGTTCGCAGAGCTATCAATCACGATGGAAGTGACCGGTGCAACTGATGTAACAATGGGGGACTGGGTCACCAAACTGCTTGAAAGAACGGTCTGGTCGTTTGGACCCACCGTAATCTCTTGTTCGGCGGCTGGAATTCTATGGTTCCACATTCAGCCTCTTTTCTAGTTAACTATGCTACCCAGCATAGCGAACTTGCAGGTGGAAAACTGAGTAATATTTTGTCGGTTTGTAAATGTGTAAAGACTCATAAAGCTATGATTAACTTGACTTATCTTGATCTGATGATAAATAGTGCTGTTGTCGCATTGCTTTCTCTCCTGGACATCTTTGCGAGCGCTTTTTTGCGTCGCAACTAGTCACTGGTTCTGCATCAAAGTCTCAGCCACTTTGGAAATAAACGGATAAAAACAGTTTGGACAGTCCCATAAGATCTTGCGTGATAAACTTACTCTGTGGACAAGATTTGGGAGTTTTAACTAAAATTTCTTCCAGCGAGCCAGTCTATGCTAAAAGAGCATAGAAACATCTCAGCTATTTCATCCTGTTGGAAATCATCAGCAGTGCACACCTCACGAAATTCATGGGGAACTCGAACCAGTGACCTCCTGACTAGCAGTTCGAACACAACATCTGGACCACGAGAGGTTCATCAGCATTCTGATAAACTCACAAATCGAAAGGATCTAGTGGCACTCATCCTTCAGCTACGGGATCCACATAACATGGTCACATGTGTTGACTGGCTCCAACAGCAAGGGCTACTCAGGTGGACAACTCAACGACTTCTCTTGCTCACTGTCCGTATTGCCAAAATTCCACTGTACTGGTCCCCAAAAGATAATGTCCTTTTAAACTGGATCATGGTGCCTTCTTGTATATCTACTGCTATGAATCGGTGACTAAACCTTCAACGACCAAAGCACCTAATGGGATTTTAAATTCAACTTGATTAATTTATTGGAGTTTTGTCAGGCCCTGATCAATTAAATTTGTATCAGTTGTCAAGATCAGCAGATGTAAGTCAATCTGTCTCCGATTCGTTCAATGCTATGTGCGCATGCTAAAATGCTGAGTGTTTTGGACATGATGTGAAGTGAGCCATACTCTCTTTGTTCGTTATACGACTATGGTCGTCTACCTGTCATTACGCCCATGAATTTGCAAAGTTCAGTCCGTTCTAGTTGGTTTTATTCAAGCATCATCCAAAAACGAACTAACCCACGTGTTCTTAGCTGTCATGCTCTGCTTGTTCAGCAATCGATTCTAACCCCACTGGTTTGAGAATGTCTAGTCTCCACAAGAGAAAGGCCGTGTGAATTTCAGCGTCACTCACGCAAGCAGCGGGGGAAGACAAGTGATGGCGGTTCTTGCATTCCGAACCAATCACGTGAAGGTATTTGCGTAAGGCTATCGTATCGGACTAGCTTGGCTGAGAAATAACACGCCTTCCTAGTGATATTGGTCCTTGATTTAGGCTCCTATCGGGTTCCTGATCCTGTTTTCTAACGAGATGCTCAAAGACGAATGTCTGATATGCTAGAGCAAGCTATACATTGTCAATCACAGAACCATTTCCATGAAAACTTGACGAGTGCCTTATTACCTTAAGCCAAAACCTATATTACTCATTTTTTTAAAAAATCGGCAATGTTGCTTACAAGAACATATGTTAGTTTGGAAACAGGTGAAGGCTGAATATGACAACCAGATCTAGACATCCCTCGTTCACTTACTCAGCTACGGATTGATTTTTCGACTCTTGCCTCCCACATCATACTTGTTTATAGCCGTGGAAAGATAACATGAAAATTTCAAACTGCAGAGCGGATATTCTGAACAGTCCGTACACAGAAATATGCAATCTGTGAAGCGCAGAACTAAACAAAATTCAGCTGAGAAGAAGCGGTCTACATAGGGCCCTCATTTGGAGGTGGCTCGGTTGTTCAGCTAGTTAACATAACGTTTAATCATTGTGTTGATACGACGTACATGGCTTCCAAACTGCGCTTGAATTTATGTTCTAGCCCCATTATCAGATTCCTTTTGAGGGTCAGAATGCCGCGTTCTGCAGAAAGCTTTTGTGTACTCATTTGCAGTTTCGTGTCGCGCGTCTTACGTTGGTCTTACAAGGAATCATTTGTCAGACGGAATGCGAGAACACAATCGAGTGTCTCGGAGTGACGGCTGGAGGAAACCAGGCTCAAATGCAAGTGTGCTTCATCCGGCCTAGAGTGGTCATGTCATCGACGAAGGGCACATCATATACCGGGTATCTTGAACCGATCACGACTGCTAAGATCCAAACTACAACCGATCGCATAGGCTATTGGAATCCAATTGCATGACCCACAGTTTTCCACCATAAAAAACACCTGTGACCTACGAACATTTTCTGCCCTTCAAACAATGCAGCTCAAAACCTTGTCTGACATTGCCGCGTAACTCCCATTCAACTTCACTTCTCTTTATTTGTTCTCTTCTTCGCTCAGTAAAGAGTGTGTAGGCGTACATTTCACATAATCTTTTCACAGGTTTCTTGTTATAACGGTGGATGACACTGGTGTGAGGTGCGAGTAGTATAGTTTCTTGTACATCTATTGAAAAGTGAGATTTACTACGGAACTTGTGGAATTGCTTTGTAGCATTCGTTTAGGTTTGAGTGATAGTCAGTGAATATCTAGGAAAGTTCACGAGGATTCGTTCAAGAAGGAGACGAATATTCGGTTTTTACAAACAGGATGCAAGTGATAATCTATCTTCTCTGTCCAATAATCTGTAACTGTTCAGCTGGTATTTTCTAATAAATAACTCCGCAGCGGAGGCCTTCTTCCTTTCACTGGTAGCATATAAATTTAGAAATTGACAGCCAAAAAGACCACTCAAAGAAAAAGACTTTTTCACTGCCTTTTTTTCTGATTGCTATTTGGAAATAAAACACCATAGTTGAAAAAAATTAGAAGGTGAATTTGGATTTTCAGCGATCTGAAATCACTCCCCTGTGTTCTACTGTTTCGGCTACGCTCCTCAGATAGTTTTTTGTGGCTTACTATGCCCATCACTACTTTCGGTGGTTCCCTGTCCTCCCAGGCTTCCAGTTACTAAATGTGATGTATACATTCGATTACCTCGATACTGGCCGGTTACATCAGGACATTCATCAACAGTGCCCATCAAGTTGCCATGGCTTGGCTAGTTTCTTGTTGCCCTTGTTGTCGAGTCCCATGAGCGGTAAATACACCCGCACATTTCGTCAATACTCAAAAGACAAACCTAAATTTAGGCGGTGAACATTTGGAGTACAGGGAAGTCATGTATCCCCCAAACCAGGAAGGTTTTTTAACGTCATCAGTCCATCCCAACTGATAAACACTTTCGTGTTGCCTTGCTAGTTCACGGTACCAAGTATACATTGCAAAATTGTTTACTGCTCAGAAATGTTGGATCCACAAGCGTAGAGAAGCTATTGGCAAGGTCAGAGAGAATATTAGAGAGTCACAAGCAGGAAAGCACATATAGACATTGGTATGAGTGGTTTATATGGATTTCCGGTTTACAGGCCTTGTGAAGGTACGTCGCGAACAGCGTCCAATTTGGGCTCAAGTAGAACATACGGTTGACCGAAACTTGAGTAAGGCAGTTAACAGATGAGCCCGAGGAAGGTCAAAATCGATGGCACTCTGTCAAAGGGTTTCCAGCTACCTCGTGAGTAGCGCTTTGTCAAGATAGCTTAACTTTGGAATATAGTCAGAAATCTTCCGTATTGGTAACATGCCTGTGGCACGACAAATTAGCACATGCAAATAAACAACGTTTCAGGTTCGTTATTTTTGAGCGGTCTCTACAATTCACTGCTGTTTTCAGTAATAGATTTAGATGCAGCTGAAATACTCCTGAATTTTCGGCTAATGGTTGAAATGATCAATGCAACTTATTCGATTGGATCATGGCCAGCGGAACTTTAGGATATATTTAAAGGCAACAACGTGCAAATTAACGGAAAAAAAGCCTAGTCTCCCTGGTCATGCATTTCACACAATATATTTTCACATCCTATTGACCCCTCATTCGTTAGTATCCTCTGTTGAGGTCAGTGTTGGTTCATGTTCAACCACAGACAGAAGAATAAATACACAGGCCTTGCATCAGTTTGATCACTCCTGTAACAATTTTCTAGATGCCATTTTCTGCCGGACTAAGACTGTTGCCATCACAAAGAAACCAAATGATATTCTGATCCTGAAAATTCCCCAGTATTATTGGTAGTTGTAAATACTGCCAAATGTATAAAGTCTATGGGAGGCACGATTTTTTCTGGCATGCGAAATTCGAGGGATAGACTTTTTAACCCGCAAGTTGAAACCTTATTTTTGTAGGGTAATGAAGCGCAAGTAAAGATACCGTTTCGTACTTTTGATATCCGTTTGTATGTTCCATGGATTGTTGAAAATTCGGAAAGTACTGTTGGGAAGAATGTTTGCGTAGAGGGTCTTCTTTCGCTATAATTTTTTGGATTCACGTGAGTAACACTTATTCGCAGCCCTTTCAACCAGTTTTAAATGGCTGGTTCGGCGATGCCACTGGCAACCTCTACAATCTGAGTGGCGCGTGACTTCAAGTACAATGTTAAGGCTAAAACAAACAGTTTTCAACAAGATTTTGACGAGTATAAATCAGAAATTGGTGAGATGTTTCTGTTAGACTCTATTCAAACATTATAGGCTTGGTGGTTTAGGCGGGTTATCGGTAAAGCTGTTCTTGGAGGTGGCTGGAAACTCTTCCACAGCTCATGGACGATTTCGCCTCTCCGATTCAGAC